ACAATTCCTTATACATCATTTTTTATAAAAAAAATGCTAAAAAAAAATTCCTTATAAAATATAAGGAAATGTGATATGGAATTTCAAAAAACATATACAAATCTTATTTATAATAATGAAAAAACGTATGCAAATTTTTTATAGGGTAATAGTGATTTAATAATATGTTAAATAATAAATTAAAAATAAAATAAATTTTATATATTATTTTTACAAAATTTCAAAAAAATGTCTTTAAGTTTATCTATTTTTCAAGTGGTATGTCTGCTTGTATAAATGCTTTTACTAAAGTAATATTAAAGACTTCATATTTATTTAACTCATTATTATTGGCATTGAGAGTGGTTTGACGAGATTTTATTTTATTTTTCAGTTTTGTGTACATTTTTTTTATATTTATCTAATTTTAAATATGTATCTAATATAGATTTTTTTATGATCTAAAACATTTTGGCAAAATTTACAAAACAATTTTTACTTATCAATATAAAAATTTTTTTATATTCTAAGTTTTCAAGTTTATGCTCATTTACTGAAACTATTATAAAAAATATGATAAAAAAATGATAAAATGATGACAAATATCTCACATTATGATCTTAATCTTCTTAATCTATAGATCTTAATTGTAGATATGCTATATAATATATGAAAAATATAGACTTAATTAAATCTGCAACAGTATATGCTATTATGAAAAATTATGATTTCTACACATATTATGCTGTCGTAAAAATTGGCTACCCTATTTATATTATAGAATCCTATCATATCCTAAATCCTATATTATATTTAAAATCCTATATCTTATATAAGATCCCAAACAATCTATGTATAGGTCAGATAAAAATTTTAAAATTTACTATGATCAATAAGCAAACTATTTTTAACTCTGTTAAGTAAACTCTCATTATGACTTAAGAAAATTTGACTCTGCTAAACAAACTGTTTTATGACTTATATATATTAAGTAAAATTTGTAGTTTCTTTATATTAAACTCAAAATCAGAATTCAAAAACTACTTTTTGTAATTAAGTAAAGTTGTAGAGCAAATAAAATCACATATACCATAAACGGTCAACTAAGGTACAATACAAATACTCAAATTTTGGGAAGTACAATATTATAGGGAGTACTTTGATCAAGGGAAGGGATATAAGCATATTTGCTGAAACCAATAAAAATATGACAAATTTTTGTATATCAAAAATTTGTCAAAAATTTTTTGACGCCATTTCTATTTGAAAATTTAAATTTTTTCTTTTTTTATCATTTTGAAAATTTAAATTTTTTTTCTTTTTAGACCTTGTTTCCTTTTTAATTAATAAAATCTGAATCGTTTAAAACAGCCAAACCTGATAGTTTCTCTTAACTAATTTAAAAAAATAAGCTGATAAGTAATTCAAAAAAAAAAATTCAATATTATTGATGAACTCTAGTAGAATCGGATGCTGCTTTTTGAGAGGTTGTGATCAAAAAATTCTGGTTATGAGTTTTAAGATTGAAATCAAGATTAGATCAGAATGTAACGCGTAATAATTAATTTCACAATTTTTTTTCTAATATATTCTTTCAAAAAACTTTGACATAAACTCTTTTTTTTAAAAGTAAAATAGTAGTACATTATAGTAAAAGTTTTTACAAAAAATTTCATATTATTCTAAAGAAAAAAAGGCAGTGGTGTGCAAAAGAAAAGTTACTTATTATCCATTATGCTGAACAATATAAAAGTAATAGGTTAGCAGCTAAAAAATTTGATGTTAAACCTAAACAAATATGATATTGGAAAAACCAAAAAAATCAATTAGAAAATGCAGCTCCTTATATTCAAAAACTGCATAGAGAAAGGGAAGCATATCTTTTAGAACTTGAAAGAAGTTTATCTTTATGGGTAACAGATATGCGTCAAGCAGTAAAAGCTATTATGCAAAATATGATTGTTTAAAAGGCTAAATCTATGGCTAAAGATTATCTTAATCTTTATCCAAATATTAATAATTTTAAATTTTCAAATGCATGGTTAGAAGGTTTTATGAAAAGATTTAATTTTACAACACGTTGATGAATTCATATTATGCAATATCTTTCAGATGATCTTTTACAAAAATAACAAAGTTTTCTTAGTTTTATTTTATATTGAAGAATTTAATATGATTATCCTTTAAAATATATTGATAATATGAATGAGATTCTAATTACTTTTGATTTACCTTCAAATATAATATTAAATCAATTTGATACTTCGACAGTGACTATTTGTACAACTGATCATGAAAAAATTCATTTTACTATTGTTTTATCATGTTTGACTGATAGTATTAAACTTTCAGCTACTTGTATTTTTAAATTGAAAAATATTTCAAAAGAGCAATTTCTTTAAAGTATTAATATTCGTATAAATGAAAAAGAATGGATGAATGAAAATGAAATATTATGGTAAATTGAAAATGTATGAAATTAACGTAATCCATTAGGTAACTCTCAATCTCTTCTAGTTTTGGATGCTTTTAAAGAGCATTTGGTTAATTCTGTTAAAAATAGATTTGTTGAAAAATAAATAAATATAGCAGTAATTCCAAGCAGTTTAACTAGTAAGCTTCAACCATTGGATGTCTCTATTAATAAAAGTTTTAAATCTAAATTGAGACAATACTATCAATATTGGATGGCTTCAGAAATGCATCAATTAACACCAGCAGGACGTATTAAAAAACCATCTTATTCTACAATTGCTAAATGGGTTATGGACTCATGGAATGATGTTGATACTGTTTTAATTTGCAAATCATTCAAATGTTGTGGAATATCAGTAGCTAGAGATGGAAGTGAGGATCATTTATTATTTAATTATGACTTTTTAACTAAAAAAAAATAAAAAAAAAAATAATGGAGGAAATGATATTTATTATGAAGATGAAGTAGAAATTAGTGAGTCAGATAATGAACTTGAAAGTGATTTGCCATTAGAATATTTAGAGTTTAATGGATATGATGAAGAATTACCAAATTATGAAAATGTTTGAAATTAGTTTTTTGTATTAATTTTTACATATATCAAATAAATCAAATTTTATATCTAAATAAATTTTTAATTAAAGTATTGTACCCCCGAGTATGATACATTTTTTTTAAAAATAAAATTTAAAACTTTGGTGTTTTGTATCTAGGGTATAATACATTTTTTGTCACTAAAAATGCTGGAAAGGTACAATACTTAGAAGTACTTTAGTCGACCATTTACGGTAATATATAATATTCAAATTTTGAAAGTATAAAACTGTTAAAAAATATCAAATTTTACTATAAAAAAACATCAAAATTGTAAAAATGTTACTAAGTAAAAATGATGCAACTTTTAATAATTGATTCATAGATAGTATTGTAAAAACAAAAAGAACAAAAAAAACTTATTTTCCCTCCCTCATACCTGTTGATCTCACTTTTTGCTCATAGATTTTTTAGATTACACAGATGTATAAATAAATTTTACCTTCGTCACGTCAAAATTGCATTACACAATTTTTTGTTATGCCATTACATCTAATTTTACTACGTGATTATGTATAAATTTATTACACCATCATGTATAAAAATAGCTTAGATTTTTATTACACAATCACATATAAAAATAGATTAAAGTTTTGTTACACTATCACATATTAAATTAATTTAAAATTACGTGTTGATTTTATTTACGTATCTTAATTTAAGAGGTATAATTATTTTTTTTGGATTATATTTGACATCACATATATTTCTAAAAATATGTTTCTGTTACGTAAACTAATTACTGAATTTGATAATTTTTAATTCTGCTACACAAATACATATCTGACTATATTAAAATTTTGCTATCTGCTACACAAAATTTTAGGTAACTTAATCAAAAATTTTTTATGTTCAATAAGTAATCTCAAATTTAATATATACATATATTGTTCAGATTCTTTCTATATTCCAATTCTAAATCTCATTTAATTTATAATATATTTTTAAGTATATTTTAATTAATATCTTACTTACAAAAATAAAATAATAATCATTTAAATCTGTTCATAAAGATAAAACTAATAAATTAAAATATCATTAAATTATTATCATTAATTATAATAATATTATTAAAGTTTTAGTTTAAGGAATAGAATTTAAAATGAGATGGAATTGAAACTTTATCATATACCTATATAGTATAGGTAACAAATATAAATCTGATGTATATTTTTTAATAATTTTTTTTATTTTCCAACTCTTTCTCAAAGTTTTCTTTTTGCTTTGAATGCGTTTACATAATTCTAAAAATTTTTTAAATTGTTTAATTGCTTATAAGATCTATCAGATCTGAAAGAAGATTTAATTATGCTCCTTTCTTATAATAATATGAATATAATATCTATGGGATAAGTATTCATTATGTATAAATTCTTGTTACTTTAGTATTCTTGTATAATTTCTCATTATGATAAGCTTCTCTTATGCATTAGTTCTCATATTACAATCACTTAATTATTTTATAATTTAATATGAAATTTGAACAATATATAATTAATTATCTTAAATCAAAAGAATATTGAAGTTGAAGTGTCTTATAATATTTATCTGATAATATTAATACATAAATAATAATATCAAACAATAATTAGATGCAACGTCACAGAATCCTAATATGCATGAGATAAGGCAAAAAACCTTTTACAAATTTTAAACATAAATGAACTGGAAGTTCAGGAGTATCTAAGCGATAGGAATATAATAGTGGTTAGTTATAAGCTCACTTTTTAATGTTTATTACCAAAATTTATTAAACTAACTATACTAACAACTGTCAATAGGAACAAGAAAAAGAAGTACTAAGCCAATCAGAAGACCAACCTCATCAAGTTAAACAGGAACTTTCATCACCATATGCATTATACACAGTTCGTGTTATTTATTTCTGTCATAAAGGATTTGCATTCAATTATAATATTTATGTATTTTTTATTTTATTTATAGCCATACAATTGTTATTTATGCTCCTTGTATCATTTCAAAGAATCAATTAACAATTGTAATAAATTACTAGTAATAGAAGGAAGTTTTCATGGAAATGATGAAAAATAAATATGGAAAATTAATAAGAAATTCATGGCTCCGGGATTTGATTTGAAGATTCTCTTACCTACAAAGAAAGTTGTATTATTTAGTTAATATATACTAATTTGTTTGTTTTTTGAGCAGAATTGATCCAATGAATGAAGTAACAGTAAATGTAGAATAAGGGATAACTAATTGTTCATTAAAAAGTCTTATTATTTCTTTAATTGTTATCTGCTAGGGGTAATTCGTTATAGTTAAATGAATAATACTTCTCATCTTTGGCTTTGTAGTTAGTCTATTGCCTTCCTCAGCTATAACCTAACAAAAATCAACAACTTTTCACGATGGCAAATCGAAAATATTTGTGATTAAGTAAAAAAATTCATTTTGTCAATTTCACAGAGTTAAGATTGAAATAAAGGCGGAAATTAAAAAATAATATCAGTCGGCATTTATGATTCATACCGGATTATAGTATATGTAAAAGTTCGCCCGATTTAACCCAAATTTTCAAGGTTCCTAAAATATTATTTTGTGTCACATGTAAAAAAATTTTCTGTTTTGATTGGTCGATTCAAATTCGGTTTGGATCATAAAAAAGCTTTTATGTGACTATAATCTTTAAAACAAAATTGTACATAATCACAAGTATTTTCTGAGGTAATTCTCATTGATCAACGAAACGTTTTTTAACCAAAAAAAAAAATATGCAGAGTCAAGAAAGATCACCAACCGAATTCTTAAATAATGTCATTGGTAGACCCGTACTTGTTAAATTGAATTCGGGTGTTGATTATCGAGGTAAACAACAAAAAATCCATTAAAAGATTATGTATTTAACATCAGATTAATTCGATTTTTTTTTTAAAGGAATTCTGTCTTGTTTGGATGGTTACATGAATATTGCTCTTGAGCAAACTGAAGAATGGGTTAATGGTCAGCTTAAGAACAAATATGGTGATGCTTTCATTCGTGGAAACAATGGTATAAAATCAATTCTTTGAGAATTTCCAGCTATTATTATTTTATTTAAATTTTATTTTATTAGTTTTGTATATCAGTGCAGATAAATCCAGATAACCTTAAAAATACGTGACGTATACATATAATTTGTACCTTTTTTTTTACGTAATAGAGATGATATTATTATTCAATAATTTTACCTCTCATTAGGTAAAGTTGATTTATTCTTTAATAATATTAAGGAAATGTTAATAAAAAATGGAAGTATAAATTGATAATAGTAATGAAATTAATGAAATAAAATACAGAATACTAAATAATAAATAATTTTAAAGATATTGGGTAAAGAATAATATAAAGATCAAATATGTACAATAATGAAACCCATCAAAATCATCTAATTAATCTATTCAATCATCGTATCTATCATACCTATCATTATATCTGTCACTATACCTATCATCATATCTGTCATTATTATACCTATCGTCGTATCTATCATCAAGTCTGTCGCTGTATTTATCATCGTGCCTATCATTGAATCTATCTTTATATCTATCATTACCATACCGATCATTATACCGATCATTATACCGATCATATCTATCAACATCGTGCCCTCTTTCGCGACGTTCGCCTCTATCATCATAACCATTCTTGATACTTCTTGGTGGAGGTGGGTTATATTGACGTGGTTGCGGTGGATATTCACCCCGTTCTTGAGGATATCGTTCTCGTTCACGAGGATAACCACGATTTGGATACCTATTTGGTGGTGATGGAGATCGAATGCGCTTATCCAAACTTGCAATGAACGGCTGAATCGTTTGATTACGTTTATTTTGATCATAACGATACCCTGCCATTTCAATTAATGGCACCTTCTTGCTATTTTCTGGCGTATGATCAAGCGGGAATGGTTCTGGTGGTAATGGATAATTCGCATACCTATAACGAGATCCATCATATGGAACTTCTTCACGATACGGATATGGAGGTTCATCACGATATTGATGAGGTGGTACGGGATATCTATTTGCAGGTTTTTCACGTAATACGTGTGGTGGAGGTGGGGAAGGATGATATCCGAATTCATCTCGGTCGCGATATCCATTTAAAGCAGAGTTGGAATCATAACTATCAGAACGTGAATGCCCATTTTGAAGTCGGTCTTTGCGGATATGCGATGGTAAGGAACGTGTTTGTTGGGGTGGAAATGTTTTACCCCTCGGTGGTATTGGCGGCTCATTATCACTGAAGGGTCCTTTATAAGTTTCATCATCATCATCAGAAGAAAAATCGGAGGATGATGGTTTAAAGGATGCTGGCATACTCTTTTTTCTTGAAATTGTTCTTTTTACTGTAATCATGGTATCAAGAGGTTCGTCGTCAGAACTTTCATCAAGTGAATCTTGTGATAATCCTTCATCGTGTGCATTCATTGCGGTTATTCCATACTTTGTACCTAATGGAACAATATCACTATCAACTGAAAGGATAGAATCACGAGCTGTTTCGTCAAAAGGAACTCTTAAATTCTTCCTGGAAATTGATTTTATGTAATTTGATTCTTCTACGATTCTTTCTTCATGATTTGAGCTTCCTCCTGAGGAAGTTGAAGAACGTGATTGTTTTAAATCTTTATGTGAACCTTTATGAACGACTCGGTCATGCAAATTGCGGGTTGAACTTTGATGAAATTCTCCAGGTGAAGTATTCTTTCTTGAAGCTATTGATGATTGACGGGAAAGAGAACCATCTTTTGGTTCATGAGATTCTTTAATTTTTTCTTTTTCAAAAGATCTACTTTTAGAAACTTTAATGACGGAACGCTCGCTTCGAAGCCTAGGGTCTATTGATGATTCACTCGTATGTGACGAAGCAGATGAGCTTGGAGATCGTCGAATAATTCTGGTCCCGTTATTCTGACGATATCCCAAATGATCGCCGTTTGAAGATATACCCTTTTCATAATCGTTGTTCCTTTCACGAGGATATCTCGTATTATTTCTTAACCGATCATCATAAATAGGTCTATCATCATTATTTCTCGGACGAGGATCTCGACGATAATCATCCCGATCCCTTGAACCATACCTATAATCTTCTCTCATATCACGAGAATCTTCAGAATAAGTGTCCGACCTAGGATTTCGAGGGTCCCGTGTTTCCCTATAATCACGATCATAATGATCATCTCGATCTCTCGGGTCTCGTGAGTATGGGGGATCATATCTATCATTTCTTTCATATCTGTCATGACGATCATAATCATAATATCTATCATCATCCGGATAAGAGGTAGAAGGGGGTGGAGGATGTAAAGAAGGTGCTGCCCTCGCTTCCGCACGATGCCTGTCTTTCATACGATCCAAAATATTATTATCACCATCTTTCGGATTCACATCTTGCGCCCAATTTTCAACTTGATTAGTTTTTTGGCCAATATCTTTTCGACGTTGAACGGGATTTATAGGTTTCTTTCCATTCATACCATTAGGATTAGGAGCCGATTGTTCTATCCTTATAAAACTATCTTCAGATTCGCTAGATGATGATGATTCAATTTTTTTCTTTTTCGATTTTTTTGAAATTTTTTTATTTATCTCGTTCTTTTTTGTTCCTTTCTTATTGTCGCTACTATTATCACTTGATTCATCATCACTTTCGGTTTCAGTTTCACTATCTAATGGTTTATGAGTTGCTAAATTATTGCTAGGTTGTAAGAGTTCATTCTTTTTAATCAAATTGTTTGATAAATTGTCTTTTGATGGTAAATTAAATCGGTTGTATGAGTTATTGGCTTCATTATTATTATTTAGAAATACGGATTTATTAGTACTTTGATTCGATAGGGATGAATTGGAAAATGTTGAAGTAGGTTGTACTTTTACTGTCGAAGAAGTTTCTAATAATTTTGATAATTCCAAATTTAAAGATAATTCATCATCAAAAGCCGAAGATTTTCCTATAAAATAATTTAATGGTATTAGTAATTTTGATGATCATAAAAAAAGGGGAAAAGTTCAAAAACATACCCGTATTCAATTCACTTAAAATTTCGTCAAACAAACCCGTCGAGTTTTCTTGATTGGGCGTTGCGGATGGTTTTAATTCTTGAGCTCTTTCAGGAGTATCAGAAGTTGAAGAGGTAGGTAGAATGTCAAGACTTGAATTTAAAGTTAAAGTATCTAACGTTATTTTTGGGGGTGCAGATTCAGTTATGGTTGAAACAACATTTTCTTTATCGCCAATTTTCTTTTTACCGAACAGAATGTTGAGTTTTGCCTTCTTCATTTATTGAAATTGAAATTAATGACTTAAAAGTAAAATAAATAAAAAAAATATAGGTTTTATATACAAACAGAAATCTATCTTGTCAATTAACCCCCCCCAAAAAAATTAAAATTAAAAAAATAAAATTAAAAATTAAAAAATATTTATAATAAATAATAGAAACAAGTGTCTATAAGAGCTTTTTATTTTTTTTTTTTTTTGACAAATTGTTCAGATATTTAAATGAGTATTCTATTAAAGAAAGTAATGGGTTGTTTGAAATATATATATACCAGTATAATATTTCAAAAAGATCAAAAAAAAAAGGAAAAAAAGAATTAAGAAAATCTTCTCCAAAGAAGATAACACCAAACAATTTAAAACGGTCTATGATGATATTTTATTTGATGCACTTTATTATTGTACAGAAGTTACTTCAACCTTGATTTGGTAAGTGGTTTAACAAATTTCGTTTGTTTTATATAATAAAACCTGAAAAGATTTTCTTCTGCAGACCGTACATTTGAAGTTTCGAACGATTTAATTAATTTCATTTTATAGAAACTTAATTTGTTTTTTTTTACCATTTTTCGAACATGGCATGTAAAATTATAAGCAAACATTTTAAAAAGGGAAACGAGTTGAACCCTTTCATAAATCACTTGGACGAATTTTTTTCTTTTTTTCCAATAAATTGAAATTTAAATCATAATTTAGTAATTTCGAGATCATGCACATCTCACATCTGTATCATTCACAGAGATTATTTTTTTTTTTTCTTAAAAAAATAAAAACCAATCAAACAATCATTTCGTAAATCATTTAGTCATTAATATCAAAAACAGAATAACCTTGACCGTAATTCGTGAAAATTTCCTTTTCAGCTAACAAGTGACAACATAAATCAAAATAAATATTAGATTCATTTTTTTTCAAACAAATGAAAGGTAATGGGTAAGGTAAAACAACAATGAATTAACCAGCTTTTGTGTTCCCGAATTAATTTGTCAAGTATATGTATATCGAATTTTCCTGTTTATTTTCTATTTTTAATTTGTATGAATTCTCATTAATTTAGGTCAATTGCAAATTTTACTACTGCTAATATTAGATTTATTAGTTTTGTGACATGTAATTTAACCATTAAAATCTGCATTCTCTCCTATCTTTTATATTACAGTTAGTATACATACATATTCAATTTTATTGCGCCCCTTTACGTAATTTTGCCTCAACTAAAATATTTCCAGGTATATTACTTCATTTTTAAGCACATAAAGAAGTTTCTCTTGATGGGTCTTTTTTTTATAATTATTTAATATAAAAAAAAAAATTTGTCGACCTTGAATCTTTCCTTTCGTTTCCATTAACTCTTTCCTAATCATATTTATCTGCTTATAATTCATTATATCAACTAACAACATTTTGAATTAATCGTTCTCTTTTATTTCTTCAAAAAAATGATAAGGGTGTTGCTATATATAGAAAAATATTTGGATTGTCGAACATCGAAAAGAATTTATATAATTTAATAAAGATAGAATACATTGTTCATTTAATAATATTATTATCAAACCTTCCATCTTTTTTTTTATTACTATATATGGAACGAGTTAGGTATAGCAATTTTCATGAAGAAATTTTTATATAAATTGAAGATCATGCCTTATATAGAGTACAATTGGAAGTGGTTTACTGCGGGGAAGCAAAGTTTTAATAATAAATGTTCGTTCATGCCATAAACTCGAAACTTCAATTAGTTTAATAAAATGAAATATCATTAACTAAAACGGATAGTTCATTACATAAATTTTCCCTTCAATTTTTATACACCCAAATTCAATAATAAATTGGATCCTCCAGCTTGGCTACCAGGTAAATATGTTATATTTCGTGAAGCAGATAATGTTGCTGCAATTTCTTTAGAAGCTTCAATACGACGCAATAATACCAAACCTTCACCAGCTTTATCAAGAGCTTTGGAAATTCTTTCTGCAGCTTCAGCTTCACCTTCTGCACGAATAACTGAAGCTTGTTTTTCTTGTTCAGCCTAAATAAAAGTTAATAAATTATTGAATTGCGAATGCATTAATAATATAAAACAAATGATTACCTTTTCGACGATGAATTTTGCTCTTTCGGCTTCCTGTTGAGCAATCTGTTTTTGTTCAACGGCATTTGTAAATTCTTTACCGAAAGTCATGTGTGTCTAAATAATATATATATACAATCATATATATTTGGTAATATCAAGAGATAGGTCAAGAATCTAATTAAAGCAAATTATTAAATTGCAAAAATAAGATACTATACAATAGAAACATCTTCCAGTTCAATGTTAAATTCTTTAGATCTTTTTACAAGGTCTTCACGTATTTTTGAAGAAACCTAAATGGAAACAATAAAAATAAAAAATGACTCCACGTTTAAAAGTCGCGTAAAATCAAATGCAAAAATAATATATATATATATTTATTTATTTAATTTTTCATTTACCACTTCACGCTGTGTAATCAATTCACTTGCATCAAATTGAGCAACAACAGCTTTCAATACTTCATTGCCAATAGAAGGCAATACTCTTTCATCATAATCCATACCCAAAGATTGATAAATTTCAGATAATTTGTCAAGATCAGGTCTATGTAAAACGCGTAAGGTCAAACTGACAGTCTGCATATCCTTTGACCCAGTTGTTGTAGATATATTGCGAGGTTTTGTACGAACATCATATAGAACAGCGCGTTGTAACCAAGGAACGAGGAAGTGTGTACCTTCACCGACTGGCCTTTCCTTAACTCCCTTAATACGATCAAATATCACAGCACGATGTCCTCCTTGAACTATCCAGCAAAATAAAAATATATATATATTTGATTTAATTCATTTTCATATACTGATATAGTTATATTATATTTTTAAAATAAATAAATTGTAACAAAATTTAAAAAAAAACCCTACCATCATAAATACTATATTGGAATAAACTAGCTGCCGCCCCAAGTGGGAGGGCGAGTTTGGCAATTTTTTCAAGTACATTAGCCATTGTCAATTAAAAAAAAAAAAAAAAAAATTAATGGATAATCTAAATGACGATCGTAATAAATGACGATCATTTTTCCGTTTCAAATATTGTGACAGTGTGGGTGATTTGCGATAACTATTTTAAACAACTTCTTACAGTGAAGTATCGTTTTTGTAAAAGATTTCGGAAAAATCAAACTTTGCTTGGAACAGCTATCTCGTAGTCCTTATATATAGTAAATCCCGTTGACATCACGTTGTTGAAAGCAATTTGAGGTTTGCATTTTTATATTCTGTCTGTTATGTTTTGCTCTGTTTCGTTTGTTTCGGGTTCATAGCAAGGTCACTCTATATTCGAGTCTAAAGAAATTTTGTTGTAGTCCCGTGATAAATTGCTTAAGTTGCTAAGTTGAGTTTGAGTTCTCAAAGATATTTAATCATATGTTTCGACTTACATTGCGACTTAGTGAAGCGGTATCCAATACTACACGAGGAATTATATAACCTTCAAATTTATAATGTTTAATTAACTTTTATTTATAATGCGGGATATAGTTTTGACGCTAAAGTAATCCACTCATTCCGGAAGCAGAAAGAATTCGACTTATCCAAATGAGGAGACTTTGTTCGAAGGTTAGTTATAGTGACCAATAAATAATACTTATCATATTGACCTTGTAAGACATAAAAGTTATTTATAATTAAATCATATGCTTGTGATTAGGGAGTGACTTCAACGTTCGAGGAGCGAGAACAATTCGAGCACCAGACGTTTCTTTCATTCCAAGTCAAACAACCCGTAGCTTGGACGTATTACAAAATTGGACCTTCCGGGGTCAACCCTTCACTCCAATATTTGAATCATTCTAACCGCCACCGAATTTCATTCCACCAAGTAACAATAACGAAATGGATGTAAGAAGTGAAATTGATATCGACCTGTGATGTCTGCAAATGTCGCAAGGTTAAATGTGATAAGGAACGACCAGAGTGCAGTACTTGTAAAAAATCCAATAGGGAATGCGCTTCTGAGTATGCTTGCTTTCACTAAGGCATTATGTGACAAGCAAATTGATGAAGATTCACAAATGATATCTGATGTTTATCCCTTCAATGGTATTGCAGGCAAATTTGCCTGCAATTTTATTTAATAATTACATTCATGATTAATTATTTTAAAAAATTAAATACTATAATAATAAATTTTATATTTTCTAAATAAAAATCAAAAAAAAAAAATGTAATTAACTAGTGATTTTTTAAAGATAAATATATAATAAATTAATTTTAAAATTTTAAATTCTTACATCTTATTATTTATTAATCTTAGAAATATAAAAATAATAATTCTTAATGAGATAAATCCAATAACCAAAATTTTATTTTTTTATAATTATTAGATAATAAAAATTAAAAAAAATTAAAAAATTGATATATAGAAGGTTTGCTATTAAAAGCATATTATAAATCATATAATTTACTATGTTTGTAACTCAATTTTTAACATAATTCTATATATTATTAATTATTAATGTAAAAAATTAAAAAATTTATCATTAGATGTATTTTAATATGATAAATTTAATAAACTTTATTTTTTCTTTTTATATTTATTAAAATATTTTAATATATAGAGATTGTAAAATATTAAATTTAATAAAAAGAGCTGCTTTAAGATATTGAGAAATTATTAACATAGCTTAATAAAATCCTATAATAAAATTTTATATTAAATTTTTTTTTATAATAAAAAATAATAAAAAATAATATATATATTTGAAATTGAAATATTTTTAAAAATCCAGTTTATAAATTAAATATAATATTTTATAATAAGAAATTTTAATGAGTTTAATAATATAAATTATTATTTAATTTATTTATTTTAAAAGACTTAATACAATAATAGATTTAAATAGTTGAAATTGTGCTTTGAGAAGTAAAATTTTTTTTCGTTTTAATTTTTGTTTCTGTATTTATTTTAATTTACTAATCAA